CAATGGGAACAGGTTTCAGGCAGTGCTATAAAACCAATAATTACTTTTATTATTTTGAACGATATGTGCCTTATACTACACGTTTAGTTCAAAATAGCATCACTTACAAGGATGACGCTATTTACAAACCATTCTTTTGTATACTTCTTGTTTACAATGGCAGCTTTTGGAAGCTAGCCTTCGTATATCTGCATTCAACACCCGAAATCAGTTTTAAAAGTGAAGACTTTAAATATTAATCAGTCTTTTAACAAGTTGGTAAACGTAACACAACTTATACAGTATCTTGAAAGTTTCAAATAAGACCTGTGTTAATTATTATGAGTCGATTTTTAAACCTACAAAAAAAAAAAGGCCAGTCGATCGAAATGTTCTGTAATGTGGTTCCGTGTGTGACTGAGACGTGGGAGAGTTGGCAACAGTACAAACAAAACATAATATTCATATTTTCCTCGTTTGTACGCAAGATCAAATCGTGATGTTAAAAAACTTACACCACACACTAAAACGCATCGCGTCTGTGTGCGTCACAGTTCATTCACCTCTCATCTATTTGTGTTGCGTTAGAAGGGAACCAATATTCTTAAGAGAACTCCCGCCACTACACAGTGACCTTGAAACAGGTTCTTGTAAATGAAGAATCATGCTATGATACTTCAGATACTTGAGGAACACCTGCTTTATTAGATCGTGCAAGACATTAAATATTTGAGAGTGCGAAAAACTTGAAGATTTTTAAAATACATACATATGGGATTTATGTCCAGCAGTGGACTATTAAAGGCTGTTAATGATGATGATATACATATTGATAAGTTGCTATAAATAATGACGTATATTTTGTAGTTTTTGCGCCATGACATTCTTAAGTACTACCCATACTACCCTTAAGTTATTAGTCGATTCTTTTTTTATGTAAGGGATAGTCCATTAATAACGTGAGGCTCGAAAGGGGAGGGGTTTAGAAAAAATCACGAGGGGGGGGGGGGTATAATGAGATATTACGTGATATTTGTCGTGGAACGCATGATTTCATTCATTTCATTTCGATGTACAAATATATGTTCTTTTTACACCTTTCTTTATTATTATTTTTTGTCAGTCCAACAACCTGCAACCTTAATGTCTCTAGACATTTTTATCACGGTGCCTAGCTTTTCAAAATTTCATCAGAATATACCTGTATTTAAAGATATTTTGAAAATGTCAATATACTTTGTACCAAAAAATTCCTATCGTTTTTAGGCAGTCTAAAACCTCACCGCATAATAACCTTGGGGTGGTTAAAAAGTTAATAAAAACGTGATTAATGGACGACACCTGACAGGTCCGTGTGGTGACGGATTAAGATAAATACGCATAGGTGTAAGATGCAAGTCGACGTAATCAAAATTTCGTACCAGGGGAATAATAAGTAATGACGTGTAGTAAATGGTGTAGAAATTTTAACAATGTGAAAACAACAACATTTTGTCCGTGTGGTGACGGATTAAGAAAACAGAGTGTCACCACCCCTATTCATCCCGTGGGTGTCGTAAGAGCCGACTAAGGGAAACAACTACGCAGAACAACAGCACTGCAGAGAGAAGGAAAACTTGACACAAACCTAATACCAACCCGTCTGGCCAGCGTGGTATAAAATTGCAAAACCTCCTTTCTAAGGAGAGGCTTATGTCCAGCAGTGGACTGTTAAAAACAAGAAGGTACAATCTTGCTAACTTCTTCTCCAAGCTCTATTCACTCCTTGCCGTGAGTTACACAAACACATTTTACCTACATCGTACCTCGACAATTGCATATGTATCGAGCAAACGTTACATTATCCTTATTCACATAGTTGATAACTACATAGATTGTGTATTACTTGCATACACAACTTGTTACTACTTACTTGTTGCATCTCTTGTAGACAATGTCATCGATAAGATGGATAATAAACAGAAATGTATCGGTATCTTTCTTGATCTCGCCAAGGCTTTTGACACTGTCTCTATTCCCCATCTAATTACTAAAATGGAGAAATTTGGCATAAGAGGACATTCTTTACTAATTTTTCAAAGTTATCTCAATAATAGAATGCAGTGTGTTAAGATAGGGTCATCTTTGAGTAATTTTATCCCCCTTAGTTACGGCGTTCCTCAAGGTTCCATTCTCGGCCCAACATTGTTTTTAATCTACATTAATGCACTTTGTAACCTTTCCATGACAAATTGTTCCATTTACACATACGCAGATGACACAGCTCTACTCATTCACGGTTCCAATTGGTCTGAGACATTCTCTGCGGCTGAGTCCGCTCTAGGAAAGGTGATGGAGTGGCTCTCATATAATCTTCTGACTCTCAACGTAAGTAAGACAATGTATCTCACTTTTACACCAACCTCTAGTACATTGCCTAACCCCGAAATCTTTAAGCTGAGAGCTCACAATTGTCAACACACCAAGGAAATGTCCTGTAACTGTCCCACTGTAAATCGAACCAATAGTGTCCGATACCTTGGCGTTCTCATTGACAACCATTTAAACTGGCATGTGCACATAAGTACCCTGACTTCCCGTGTCCGCAAGCTTATATGTGTATTCAAAAAACTCCGACACTCAGCTACACAGGTTACTCTTAAAATGATCTATTACTCACTCTGTCAGTCCATAGTGGCATATTGTATATCTGTTTGGGGAGGTGCCGCCAGGACGACTTTACTGCAGCTCGAACGGGCTCCAAGAGCCGTTTTAAAGGTCATGTTATGTAGACATTTTAGATATCCCACCACTCTGTTATACTCTGAATGCAATGTCCTAACTGTCCGTAAAATGTATGTGCTCCAAACAGTTTTACGTAAACATAGCACTCTAAAATACGATCCAAAAAGACAGCACACACGCAGGTCTTATAAAATTTGTCCTGCAGTCACATGCAGAACTGCCCTTGCCAGGAGACACTTTCGTATTATCGCAGTTCATCTTTACAACACCTTAAACAAGCATTGCCAAATTCATCACCTTGCGAAAAGACAATGCAAAGCCAAAGTAATGAACTGGTTACTTGAACAGGATTACGATACAACCGAGAAGTTAATGAGACTCACCGTGCTATAAAATTAAATACACACACACACACATACACACACACATAAACACACACACACACACACAAACACACACACACACACACAAACACACACACAAAACAAGATACAGAAAGAGACACACGCACGCGCATACGCGTCTTATCATAAGTCTACAACTGTGAGAAGAACTGGTACCCATGACTCAAGTTAAATCTTACAATGGGTGCCAGAGCTCGACTGCTTAAGTTTTCACTGATGCTGTTTTGATAATATGTATGTATGTAAGCATTGTACTTCTTTTCTATGTCAATAAAAATATTATTATTATTATTATTATTACTGCGTCCTTAAATGTAATAAATATTAATTAATCTATAATTACATAATTCCATTTATATAACAAGCAATAATTATGAAAAATGAAATACCTAATGGCTTCGCCCGCGTAATGTTTTCTTATTTCTGACTTTAAAAATAATGAACTTCCATACAACCGTTTTTCACTCATTTTACCCCCTTAGGGGTGACATTTCCAAATATATTTTCTTAGCGGGTGCTTACAATATAAAAAACATCAGCTGCAAAAATTTTAAGTTTGTAACCCCAGTGGTTTAGGCTCTGTGATTGATTCACAGTCTGTGAGTCAGAGCAAGTAATTTATACAGACGAAAAAAGTAAGAACTTCGACCGCCAAGCGATCACCAATATACAGACTTAGTACATTACGAAGTAAGTGCAAAGCAAAAATAAATACTTACTACATGTCGTTGTATAATACGTTTGGTGAAAGTATGCTAAATAAATTTCGCAAGTTTCAAATACTAAGGATATTCTAGTGCCTCCACGGTTCAGTCTAGTCTAAACTGAAAGCTGTACACATTCAGACTTAATTTACTGATTGTTGAACAGGGGTAATGAATTTGAGAAACAAGAAAATGAGTGTTGTGACGGAGAAATTGATTTGTGTAGTTAACGGGGTGAGTTCTGTGGTTGAGTTCTTATTTCATTAACAAGCTAATTACTGAGAAAAAACCCTATATATACCTGAATTTACAAACCGGCAATTTTTATTTTATAATTTTCTTCACCGAGTGTAACTCACACGATTGAGACGAATCTAACGACACTTCAAACGCCAAATTCCATCATGTCGTTTAATCTACAGAGAGTGGCAAAGTAATGTACTTACATACACGTGAAAATTACTCGTATATATATATACACCTTGTAGCGCAGTCGGGAAAAATAATAACCATGTGAAAAACTTCAAATAATATTGATGGTATGATCAATGATTTGAAAAGTGTAATTAAGAATTTATTACGGTAAAATGTTATAAAAACATTAAAAACGGGTTATAGATGACCTTTTTTTCATAGTTTTTTTTTTCTCCACAAACATACATGAAATGGACACATAGAACACCCAGACTCATAATTTGTAGATCATACAAAGTGTCCGAAGTGGGGATCCATCCCACAACACTTAGCGTAGTAGAAAGCGGCGAGGTGACCGCTTAAACCACTACGCTATCCGTGCACTCAATAAATAAATATAAAATAAAAAGTTTCTTAAAAAGTTAATTCAATTAATCACTATCTGATCTATCCACTTCTAAGGCTGTCTTTGTCTTAATTTTTTACAAGCTGTGTTTCATCACGCTACGACTATTAGGAGCTTAGTAGAGACCCTACTAGTCGAATGCAAGACTCTAATAGTCTGCAAGAAATGGCTAGTAACTGACTACCTTTATTAATTTACATTAAGAACCATACAGGTAACGCCATTGGTACAAAACTATAAGCAGTACAGAACCTCAGCAAACAACCTATAGCAATGTTATGTTTTGTAATTCATCAGTACTTTTAGAAGACAGTGTCTTATTCAACTTTGTACAAAATTTTATAAATTGCATTTTTCATTTGTTTCCAGGTAACCATGAGTCAAAAGGTGTCTCGTAAGACTATAAGTGAAGACAAAGATAAGGTAGGCACTACCCACCCGATTATATTGTTGTGGTGTCACAGTACATAAATACAACTTACATACATTTAAATTAAATTCTAGGATTTGTACATACAGAGAAAAATATTCAATGGTACTTTAAAATGAAAATAATGCAATTGAATGAAACAATTTACTTTGTATTATTATCATCATCCTCATATTATTTGGTATTGGTATTTTGAATCTACCGTTGTTTGCAAGTGGAGACCGCGTCTCGGCAAACACAGGACGCCCACAGGCCAGGTGGAGTGACGATTTGCGTAAGATGGCTGGCAGGAGCTGGATGCGAAAAGTCGAAAATAGATTGAAGTGGCGTGCAATAGGCGAGACCTACGTCCAGCAGGCCTGGCTGATATAGGCTGATAATGATGATGTTCTTTGCAATATAATTATTTCGAATTTTCACATCTGACAATTGGAAAAGTCGGATTCTACCTCTCCCCCTTCCTTAATAGTTTGAAAGCTATAATACTCACTAACCCATACCTAAGAATTCTTTTTTTTTTTCGCAGAGGAGTACAAACAGTCCAGTAAAAGACATGAAAAAGAAGGTGGCCGCCAACGCGGAGAAAGAGAAACTAGCTGCTGCAGAGAAAAACGAAAAGGCAGAGAAGGCACCTGAGAAGAGCGCAGAAAAAACAACAGAGAAAGCTGACAAGTCAGAAAAACATGATAAGAGCACAGATAAGAAATCGGAAAAGAAAGATCATACAGAAAAGAAGAATGACAAACCTGAACAGCTAGCGGAGAAGAGTAAAGAGGATGGTCATAGTAAAGAAGATAAAAGTGGGAAGGTGTGTTCATATATTTTTTTTTAGACGACAGACACTCTTTGGTTTACATTTCGGTTCTCCTTCATGTTAATTGAATCATTCTTTTTTTTATGTTAGAGGGGGCAGACGAGCGACGACCCGTCTGCTCGTCTGCCTCCTCCTGATGGAAAGTGACTATCGCCGCCCATGAACGTCTGCAACTCAGGAGTCACAAACGCGTTGCCGGCCTTTTAAGAAGGAGTACGCTTTTCTCTTGATGGTTTGGTTCTTTTATGATACAGGGGGCAAACCAGCAGATAGGTTACCGGATAGTTAGTGACTATCATCTCCAATGGTTATAGACTAGAGTCACAATTGGGTTACAACCGGATAGTTAGTGACTATCATCTCCAATGGTTATAGACTAGAGTCACAATTGGGTTGCAAGACATTCAGTGACCTTCCTACCAGAGCCCTCTTGATTCTTGGAGGAGGGACTGAAAAGGCGGCAATGCACTTGTGTCTCTTGAATTGCATGTGTCAATATGCGGCGATAGCCAATTACCATCAGATGACCAGTCTAAACGTTTAGCTCACTCACTCGGACAAAGAAATGCTTAATACCGGTTTTCTGTGAGGTTTCTATTACTCAGGTCGAGACAGGCCATATCTGTTAATTTCTCCCCCAACCGGAGTTAGAACGACTTCGAGGTTTTTCTCAACAACCTGGAAACCTCGATGCGGCGACTAGCGTCTGGGCACGTCCTTGTTCTGAGGGACGTGGAGAGAGTGGCACACCGTGTGGTTGTCGGTCCGATTCCGACACACTACTCCGCTGCAAACCCCGGTGGGGTGACGGCCCGACGGGGTTTCACAAGTAAAAACAAAAGTTCATATCTGTTAATATATAGTTAGGTAAACTTAGATATCTTCATCTTCTTCCAAGTTTATTATTATAATTAGTTAAATATTTATATTTGGATATGTCTTCATGCCAGCTGATTCAGAGACCGTGACCCGATTTTCTACTTTAAACAAAAACTTCCTTGAAATATAATTAGCATTGTTTAGAATTAAAATTATCAGCAAATGTAGCAATTTTATTATATTTTCAGTCAGAAAAAGAAAAACCTGAATCGAAAAAAGCCGAGCCTTCAAAACAGAAACAGAACGGCAGAGATCGCGTGCACAACGGAGTATCAGACGTGACGCTCGGCAACGGGACTGATGACGTACTCAATGGAACGGTGAGTGCGGACTCGGAGGACGATGACGCCATGCTCGTCATCGACGACCATGATGAGCTGTTCCCGGAACTGACGTATGACGACACTTCGGACGTGGAGTGTTTTGAACCGCCGACTCCGGAGAGTGTGCCGAGCCGAAGTTTTACCAGGCGATCTCAGGTACCTTTACTTGGTACCTGTAGTTTCTTTCGTGCTTCACGATTTGTTTGGTACTTTTTGAGAAAAATCGACTAAGAGTCGCAGGGTTTTAGTACTTTATGTGATCGATAGAAGTGGTGTAGGTGTTTTAAAATCTGAATTCCTGGCTTTAAAAATGTCTTAGAAAATATTTGGCCTCGGTATTCATTTTTTCCTGCTGAAACAAAGCCAAACTAATTAATGCAGTGAGAATAACATTTATTTTCGAACTGGTCATCAGAATTGACGCCAGTTTAAGTCGACTTAATTTGTTTGTGTGTTAAAAATCGTGATAACCTATGGTGTTGGTTTATCATTTGTACCGGTGTAGGTTTAATAATATTCAACTTAATCGTTTTGGTACAAGGAGATTGAAGCTTAAAATTTTGCCAAAAGTTTGAGGGGTTGGATTGTGTTTGACAGGCATGTCAATCATCTACGATGATTACGACTAATTACAAATACTTTAGTCGATTTTAATAATTTTCTTTAATTCTTTGGTGTCATTGATTTTGTGTCATTTTTAACAATGAAATGTTTTACTACTTTGATTTTTATACAATCTAAATACGGCAATTCACGCATTTACGACTATTAGAGAATAATTTACTTTTATTTTGTTTTGAAATGTTTGTGATAAAAACATTGTAGTGAAACACTTAAAGTATCATCCTCATTCTCATCGGTTCTTAGCTTTGTGATAGATAAATATTTATAAAAATAACGATTAATTAAAATCTAATAGGATACATGTCGCACCGAACCGAAATACCAGGATAGACGCTATCGAACTATCTAGATCGTACTTGAAACAAACATTGAGACACCTCACTTAACCAAGGATAACTAATTCACGGCTTCATCTGGTTCTTACAAGGTTCAAGAGTTTCTTTATCTGACCGTTGCCAGTCAAGGTTTTACCTCATAGGCAAGTCTCCGGACATACGTGCTCGTTTTTCTCTGAACTCTCAATTCACCTGCTCGCAGTGAGTATATTCTTAGGCATTTAATATTCCTTGAGTCCAACCGCGAAACGATTTGCAATTTGGTAGAAACTTCCAGAAGAAAGTAAAGTCCCGATTCACATTTCCCCGTGGCTGCGGCTACCCGGATGAAAGTCGCGAATGTTTTAAACCCATCAAGAATGCTTGCTTTTAATAAAAAAAAAACCGAATAGGTAACATGTACTCTATTTTGTTAAAACTTTTCAAAATTTACGACTGACTGAACTGAGAAGCGATGAGAATAGAGAGAGAGTAAGGGGGGACGGGAGGAATGCTCGTGAGAAACGGACGGTGTAGTGGGTTTACTAATGTGGGTGTGTGTGGTGCCACAAGGTGAAGGCCACGCGCACGCCGGAGACGCCGCGCCCCGCCTCCGACAAGCTCGCAGACACACCGCACGACGAGGTGAGTCCTGTCACACCTGCTCTAGGTACTTCTTCCCGTCTACTACAAACTTTTAGAAAGCAGGTGTAAAATTTTCTCGCGTTTTATAATACACTAGTACTCTCTGTACTCTGCCATGCTTCGCTGTGGTCACATAGCGTTTTCATTAATGAGAAATGAGGAACAACATTGACGAGAAAGATAAAAAACTAATCTCTGAAGCGGATTGTATATCGTGTCAAAATTGGAACAATTGGTGCAGAACTTTTTTGAGTTTTAATAGCACACAAAACAACTACATTTCTTTTGAAGTGAAAACTTCTTTAGGCGCGTTGGCCATTTTTGAACAATAAACTAAAGAATGTATTTTTTGAGATAGGAAAAACCATTGAACTCGCGACACTGTTACCGTTACCGACACCTCTGTATAAAAGTATCTACATATATTGGCTCCGTGTACACGAAAGTTGAGTTTGGGTTGAAATACATTGATAATATAAATATATATTATGTATATACGTTCAACATAATTATATATGGAACTTTTCGTATGGAAAAAAAACAAAAAAAATCCTGTTATAATCAAAAATTTTCAAGTTTTCACTTCTGTCGGCACTCGAATGCCACTGTTTTTTTAAATAGATATAGATTAATAAAAATAATTAAATTTAGCCTTTGTAAACATCGTAATAAAATTTACGAAACCAGACCAAGACAAATAAATCAAGAAAGATTAGAGAATATTTGTCTCCAGTCTGAAATGGCTATTGACTTCAAAATCGAAATGAATAATTTAAAAAAAATGTACTTGTATTTTTTCGCAAATAATTATGGGGATTTTTTGATTTAATTATACCTACAATAGCTTCTTGAATTAAAGAAAATTTAAATATTTCGCGTTTTCTTTATACGAATAACGCTGTTCTTAAATAATAATTCGTTCGTTCTTTTAAAAAGACAACTCCTGCATTAGGAATATATCCTGTGTCGCGGGGGACTTTACAAACATACATAAAACGGACACAAAGAACACCCAGACTCAGACCAACAATTTGTGGATCACACAAAGTGTCCCGTGTGGGAATCGGACCCACAACACTCAGCGTAGTAGCAGCAGCGTGGTGACCGCTTAAATCACTACGCCAACCGTTCAAAATTGTAATTTATTGTGTCACAGTACAGGAATACATTAGGCATAATAAATAACAATAAATCAACTCTGGACAATGCAAACATATACACAATACTTCATTACCATTATTTAACAAACACTTATCAGATTTTCCTCAGTTAAAGCATGCACACATTGTACATATTCGCATACATAACATCTGCACGTATAAAGTTATGCACACACTCATTCTGTCCATGTAATCCACGCATGTAATCGTAATACATAATAATATATGGCTTACCGCGTATTTTGATTTAAAAAAGTAGCAATAAAAACTTAGCCAACCATTTTTCTTTATGGTATCGATATGCCTTTGAGGTGGAAGAACGCTCTTTGAAAAAAAAAAGCAACACAAATGGAGGAAGGTTGGGCGGTGTAGTTTTTGTTTAACAGTTTCACTTACACTAGTAGTGTAAACAATATCTAGAGCAGTTAGTTAATAAGGGAGGGAGGATAAGGACAGAGCCTAAAAGCCTAGTGTGAGCTTATTTCACATCGACTCAATCGTTACGGTGTCCGCGTTCGGAGTTGCCATTGGCCCGCCGTGGAGAGCGAGTTAGTGTGAAATAAACTCACACTAGGCTTTTACACTCTGTCCTTATCCTCCCCTTCCTTATTCTGGAAGGGGAAGGGCTCTCAAGGGCGTTGCCCCTTGTGATCCTTGAGTTGCAGGTGTCCATGAGCGGCTATAGTCACTTACCATCAGGTGATCCGTCTGCTTGTTTGTCCCCTTATAAGATAAACGAACTGTATAAGAAGTAAATTTTGTGCATGGCGTTGCAATAAAATTCTATTGATTGTGCTCTCACCCTTAAGTAGGGTAGAACATATTTTTATACTACAGTCTCTTGATATAATTCTGTAGATTATTTAAGTTATCTTTAATTTTACTTTAAATTGCATGTAACTTATATCTACCCGCCATAGATATGTCTTTCAGTATCAAAAATAAATTTAAATTAAACTGACATAACGGCGACGTGGTGGTGGAATATTAGATTGTAACTTTAGAGAACAGGGATTCGATTCTCGCTCAATTCAATAAATTGAATGTATGGATGTGTATTTGGTGCATGGTTTAATATTCACAACTCCATTTTATCTTATCTTAAATAATTACAGCCAAAGGATTCGAAGCTGTTAAAACTGAAAGAAGATGCTCCTCTCACAGATAGAAAACTACGTTCATCAGACTCTCCCAAACCACAGGAAACAAAGAAACAAGATAAACAAGACACAGACAAAAAACAGGAGTCTGACAAAAAAGAGGAATCTGGTAATGATCAAGATTCTGAAAAGAAGGAAACAGACAAAGAAGCAGGTAAAGATGTAGTTGGAGACAAGAATGCAGAAGACGTTAAGAAGCAAGAAGAAAAAGTGGAAGTGGTGGAAGTCGTTATAGAAGTTGAATCTAATGACGGTAAGTAATTTGGTAATGTTTAAGCTAGTTGTTTTATTAATAAACTATCTACGGCCCCGATGAATTGTTCTCTCTAACTTTGAAAATGATGAACTTCCATACAACTGTACATCTCTTATTTTACTACCTTAGAAGTGAAATTTTCAAAAATCCTTTCTTATTGGTAAGCTTCTAATATTCAAGTTTCTAAGCCTCAGCCGTTAAGGCTCTGCGTCAGTCAGGTCAATTAATTTTCTATGTATAGATAATAATTAATATTCTGAACACATTGAAAGTAATAGGGTCACCGAAATGGTACCAACACCCATATTTTGCCAACAATTTTAGCTTCTGTTGGTGATAGTGACTCAGCATTTCGTTGATCAGTCTGACGCTAATGGATTTGAAGATAACAAAATAGGGTATTAAAAAGAGGAAATGCAGTAGAGGGAAAGGGATATAGCTTAACGCAGGGATTCCCAAAGTGGTCGATATCGACCCCTTGGGATCGAAATTGGTTTCCCAGGAGTCGAAATTGGTTTCCCAGGATTCGAAATTAGTTTCCCAGGGGTCGAAATTGGTTTCCCAGCGGTCGACATACAAGAAAACTGATTTTGGGGCTCGACGAGGTCTAAAAATCCACCTCTATTAATTAACACTAGTTCTCATTTGAAATTTTCAAGATACTGTATTAGTTGTGTTACGTGTATCAACTTATTATGAGAATGACTAATATTTTAGTAGGAAGTATCATTGTTTTACTTTTCAAAAATTCAAGCATGCTGTTATTTTGGCCTATCCCGGGGGTCTGATGTATCAATTCATTTTAGAAAAAGGGTCTCTTGGCCAAAATAGTTTGGAATCCCTGGCTTCACTGGCTGGATCTCACAACTGTCATAAACGGTAGATAATTTCATAGTATCTTTTATTATAATATAATATAATAATAATATCGTTTATTTCTCACCAGAACCAAAATGCATACAATGAAAATACGATTATGCTATAACATTTGACAATTTCGGTAATACGACTAATAGTTTAGTTTTAGTGTATAATAGTTTTTATATCTTATATATAAAATTCTCGTGTCACAATGTTCGTTCCCGTACTCCTCCGAAACGGCTTGACCGATTCTCATGAAATTTTGTGTGCACATCGGGTAGGTCTGAGAATCGGCCAACATCTATTTTTCATACCCCTAAATGGTAAGGGTGACCCATCCCTATTTTTTTTTTGTTTTGCAATACAACGTTTGCCGGGTCAGCTAATATTATATAAAAAACATGAATTCCACAAAGAAAGTACAAAAGTGAAACTTATCCTATATGTATGCCTTGTGGAATGTGGTAATGATGAGTGTAGTGTGACCACTTTCAACAGGCGAAGAGGTGCAGCGCAAGACTGACACGAACTACTCCAAGTCGCGCGTCAAGGTGTCTCCGTACAGACGCAGCATGCGGCTAGCCGACCAGACCAACACTTCCGTTATGGCCAATTATACTGGTGAGTACTACATATCATTGACTGCACGGATGGCGTAGTGTTTTAGGCGGTCGCTACGCCTCGTTACTACTAGTGTTGTGGGTCCGATCCTCACATGGGACGACACTTTGTGTGTTCCACAAATTGTTGTTCTGAGTCTGGGTGTTCTTTGTGTACGTTTCATGAATGTTAGTAAAGTCCCCAGCGACTCAGGATATATTCCTAATGCGGGAGATGTCTTTTTAAATAAGAAGAAAAAAATACAAATATATAAATTATACTGCACGAATGACGTAGTGGTTTAAGAGGTCACCTCGCCGCTTCCTTCTGCGCTGAGTGTTGTGGGTTCAACACTTTGTGGGATCTAAAATTGTTGTTCCAAGTTTTGGTGGGTTTTTTGTGTTCGGTTCATAAATGTCCATAAAGTCCTCCACGATCCTGGATATATTCCTAGTGCGGGAGTTGTCTTATAAAATTGACCATGAAGATACCCTTATGCTCGTTTTTGCCTCTATACAATAAAAAAAACTTGAATGAATGTTTAGGAAACAACACAACAATGGAGATGGACATCTCGGAGTCCTCTTCGACACTGGAGGAGAGCGCGCTGGACGACAGCTCGTACCTGCGCGGGTTGCGCAGCATCCGCGGGCGCTCGTCCTACAAGCCGCTCAAGGAGATGAACTTCAAACACGTCGCCAATAGGAGCGTGCGCTCCAACACCAGTATTACCTGTGAGTCTACTGTTTCTGTTTCATTCCAGCTCTTTTAGTAGTTAGTTAGTTATATAGTTAGTTCCATCAATATTTGAGTATGTCTGTGGAACAAGTTATCGTCTGTGGTATTTCCGGAACTTCAAACCTTCAATAAAAGAGCGTCTTAAAAGGCCGGCAACTTGCTTGTGACTCCTGAGTTGCAGACGTTCATGGGCGGCGGTAGTCATTCTCCATCAGGGCCTCAATTCTGCTATTTTAATATTCTATCAATAGACTGTCGATGGATTGTCGTCGAAATAGTTTTGTACTTTTCGGATTCTACTAACTATGTAAGACCAATGGCCGATGATGATGATGACTCAACACTGATACAAATGTCGTCCATGTCTTTTTAATAGTTTATTTTCTAAAAAATTTAAATAATAGTTTGGTAGACTGTCCAAACTATTATTTAAATTTTTTAGAAAATAAATATTTAATTATCATGATATGGCTATGTTGTTGATATCATCATTGATGAGCCATTGTCACTATGTCTATTGACACTGTGAATTGATGTTAGTAGAATACCGAAATTTTTACCGATGTTAATGGCATCTCAAAAGCGTGTCAATGGAATGACAGTGGTTTATATGTTAACATAAAATAGTAGAATTGAGGTCTAGGTGATCTGTCTGATCGTTTGTCTCCTACTTCCATAAAAATCGTATCTTTCGAAGAGCGATTCGAATTGTCGATAGCCCAAACATCTTCGATCGGCTCGACTCCTTGGCGTTACATAGAGATGTGGATTCACTCTGCATTTGTTATCGTATATATCATGGAGAGTGCTCCGAGGAATTGTTTGGATTAATACCAGCCGCAACTTTCTGCCAACGTTCCACGGCGCAATTGTCATCTTTGTTACTTGGGTATTTGGGCGCTCCACTACAATGCGTTTTTCGAGATACTTTTTGCCCGTACTATCAATGTGTGGAACGGGTTATCGTTTGCGGTATTTTAGGACCGATGTGACCTTGAAACCTTCAAGAAAAGAGCTTATTGCTTTCTAAAAGGCCGGTAACGCGTTTGTGACTCCTGAGCTGCAGACGTTCATGGGCGGTGATTGTCGCTTTCCATCAGGTGACCCGTTTGCTCTTCTGCCTCCTCTTACATATAAAAAAAGGGCCGATCGATAGTCAATAGTGTTTTACACAACATTTCATTTCAGCCACCCTCAGTTCATTTCATAGTTGCTGGTAATCATAAATAATTACGTAGTAGCTATTTAATCGTTTAGGTGTCGGTAACAGAAAATATGACGCCCAAAATATTTTTTTTATTCTGATGATTTGTTGAGTGATTAGTCGATTAAGAGGTATCACTCGGGTATGAGCGTAGAAGTTTAACAGTGTGTCGGCGGTTACAGGTCCGGCGGAGCAGTCGCGGCCCACGGGCACGGTGGTGGGGCGCAAGCGTAAGCCGGACGAGGCGGCGGGGGCGGCGGGGGCGGCGGAGGCGGGCGGCAAGCGCCTGCGCGTGCTGGAGCGCCTCGAGCGCCTCGCCGAGCCGCTGCGCCGCGTCGCGCACGTCGCGCTGCCCGCCGCGCACCGACGCAACGCTGAGGTGAGCGCGCACTTACCGTGTGAACGTTTCATGCCTCGCCCGACCGTATCAATCTTTGATATAGATCGTGTTAAAATGCGAAAGAGAGACCATTTTTTTGTTCAACGGTGAGCTTGCCACGCGCTGTAACCTCGCTACGATACCGAGGTTGCCGTGCTCGTTCTGGAACAGTTTCCTCGCATGGCTCTCTTTGTGTGGTACCGCCTAATAGATTACTGATGTTTGATATACACCGTCAAATTGTTGTAGCAGTCCTTTTTAAGCTATTGCATAACTTCTATCACGGACCTTGAGCGTGGAGACCGAATCCAGAAGTTCCGTAACGAAAATAACCTAACACCCCCCACTTCGACCGGCACAGCGGTGATACTTTTTAGTTTTGCCATCTATCGATGAATAACAGAACTTTTATTAATGTAATAACATCCACATACAATACCCCCCACCACCAAAAATTTTATAATTGTCCCTTCAAAATACCTCCCCTTCTCTCCCCTCCACTTTTTTCATTTATCCCCCCTTTGATTTTCTCGGTTCCTGGAGCACTTGAACATGTTTGGATTCGTCTGAACCGGCAAAAGGAGACGTACAATCTGGCTGTGTGATTGTACGACAGATTTTTTACCTGGGGTACCAGCTAAAAAATCTGTAGGGGCCAGATTATTCGTATGAAATTTGAAAACACTGCCTTAGTGGGTTCGATTCCGGAGCCGGGCAAAATTCTATAGGGTTTTTCTAAGATAATTATTTAATACTAGCTGGTACCCGCGACTTCGTTCGCGTGGAATTTGAAAACGCTGCCTTTGCAAATTTCTATAGAGTTTTCCTGAGATAATTATTTAATACCAAGTTTATTAATACTATTATGTTTATTTATTTTTTATTTACTAGACATTATTTAAGGACCCCATTATTGCAAAAAAATAGTAGTTATCCTTACCTTACCGTTATCATCCAAGACTTACAAGAAACAGACATCCAGCGAGTGGCTTATCGCACACCCATAGGGGTGTGCGATATTTTTTTTTGCCAATATTTTATGGACAGACGAGACCTTGTTTACTCGTGTGGGTTTGTACAACCAACATAATGGTCTAATCACAACCCACACGTCGTTAGACAAGATCTAGACTACATTTTGAATCTAAATATCTAGAAGACTACATTTTGAACCTTTATTAAAATACATGTTTTATTAAAATTTAAATTCTTTATTAAAATAAACAGTAGCGGTAACTTTACTAGCGGTAGTTACTTATTTCAAACGTAGGGCACGTTTGAAATAAGTAAAAAATACATACATTTTTTAAATTAAGTAAAGTTTTAGTATTTGGATGTTATGTTAGGTACTTTATTTATCAATGAAATATAGTTTCATACAGTATCACACCATAGTGTATAAGTATGCGATACCGATGGAAAACGATGTCCACAAATTGTGAGTTCTTAAGACAACTTTATGATGCTAATTACTCAACATTTTTGTACCATGTGATGCTAAACTAAAATGCGGGTTTCTCATAAATTTTGCTAAAGATTCTTCTGTGTTAATATGGATGGCAACTACAATTTCACGGTGTATACCAAATTAAAAACTAGGAAATAATAATGTATACTCACGCTATTTTATGGTCACCGATTATCAAGGACAAAAAATCCTATATCAATTTAATCCATAACAATTACAAAAGAAAATACAGTTTCAATTTATTTAATTTAAAAAAACTTAACTCCCCATAATATAGTACAGTTGCGAAACAGGAAGAATTATGTACCTTTGTGTTACTGCCATAGGTCAATAACAATTTTACTTAAAATGCAGGCCTACTCGTATAAAATTTTGCATTTATTTTAAATTCACTCAAACTGAATTTATGTATTAGGTATTACTTTAATATTATATTAAGTTTTTACGTATATTTACTATCCTCAGGTATACACAAAGTCAGCGGTCAGATCTTTACAGTATCCGTACAGTATACTTCTTAACAGTGATAGTTTTTAATAAAATTAAATGTAAAATTTATTTATGAAATATACCTAATAGATGTATTATATTAGTATTACTTATTTCAGAATAGTATTTAAATAATGTGAAAATAGAGTAACATTCTTATTTGAATATGAAAAGCAATGGCACGGCAACCAAATATCCCATGTACAAATCTTATTGTACAGATTGTACAGATCTTATTGTAACCCTCAAAAGGTTTACAATTTCTACACACAACGGTCATCGTATCAATGCGACCGCGACGGCAATAGATTTACGTGCGAGGGACAGAGTCAGGATAATAATAAGTCAATGTAAGAAATTCTTTCTGGTCCGCCACCGCACCATAGACATAATAAAAGCATGTGACAACGTGAACTATGAATTTTACTTAATTAAACAAGTGTAACTAGATTGTTATACAAATCTAAAATTTTCTTTATCGATTAAATAGTACCTATCTTTCCAATAATAACTGCAAACTGTTTAAACACGATGTTAATAAATGTAGTAGTAATTCAACAAAATCCGGTGTGCCACAGGGTAGCATACTGGAACCGCTTCTACAATAAAAAATTTACTCACTAAGCTTGTAACACTAAAAATAGAATTTTATTATTTTATGTCCAAATGATGTCTACTTTAAGTTAATATATGTGCTTGTAACAGATCGTGGGCATCAACACCGACCTGCCGCTGTCGGCGCCGGTGGCCACGCCCGACACCTTCGACCCCGAGTCGCTGAAGGGCGCCATCCCCCCTCCCGAGGTGCCGGTCGCCGTCCCCCTCGGCGCCCCCCCTCAGGCCTCCGACAACAAACGGTGTATCGTCATGTAAGGCGCGCCCCGCACGCATATCATGGAAGCAGTGTGGCCTTGCAGACTCCGAGCCGGCAGATACCGGTAGTGTCTTTTCTAACCGAAGCACATCATGTACTGTCGTTATCTAGTTAAAAAAAATTAGCGCTGTCCTAAATCGCGCTATAAGGATTTACGAGTCAAATTATTCAAGCAATAATTAGGAACATAACACTAAGGGGTTTTTACCTCAGTGATGCTTTATCATTTTATAAATATTGTATTTTACATTGTCTGCAAGTCATAGTCATATTATTAATGAGTGTTTAGAAATGTCAAAAGTGACATTTCTAAACAATATTAATACTGTGTAAAAGAGGTATTGAATAAATGACTAAATATTTTTTTTATAAGAAAATAGTTCAGTAGAACTGTATTTGTTTTAGAATAGAGTAAGACTTGGCAAGTCTTTAAAGTATTAGTATTAATTGACCCTCCTTATATTGAACTGGCTATCGACCTAATTTAATTTATGATTTGCCATTGTGGTCCTAGGTTCGATTCCGGAGTGGAAAGTGCCAGATCAATAACAATAAGCTCACCACCTTTAAGTGTCATTGATATCTGCCTACCGATAGACAAATAATTCTTTATATAAATAAAAAATACACTTTTAACCCGTTGTTTCCTCATGGACCAACTATGTATGCACAACTAGTTGTGTCATGAGGAATATTTTTTTTTAAATCATTCCTATTGGCACAACTAAATAATTTTCAATTAATATTTGTTCCTAGATGCACAACTGATTACAATCGGTGTACAAAGGTTCATCGTTATCGTTATGGTTATAAGTTCTTCGTCTTCTGGCGTACACTTAGACATGCTTACAGTCAGGATATACGCCAGCGAATGCACGAAAATAATATATCAATATTTTTTAAATAATTACTGATAATAAATGACATGAAATGGCATTTATAATTTTCTATTTGTTAATATACAAAGATATGACAGAAGTGGCCAACATAATCATCAATATCTCAAGAGGTTAGTAATAATCTTATTTATTTCCTCCTGTAGTTGTGCTAAAAGGAATGGTTATAGTAAATCAGTTGTGCTTAGTTGTGCATAGTTGTGTCATTAAGAACATATTCTGGGATGGCACAACTAGTTGTGTGTACATAGTTGGTCCATGAGGAAAACGGGTTTTAACCCACCTATGTCCGTTAAAATAATGTAAATTAGAATATTTACAATAGATTTTACTTAAAATTGCATATATATTTATGCTGTTTACTATGTTAGATTTGGTCGATAAACAGAGTAATATATGCCGGGGACATATTGTTCAATATAGGCTATAAATATGAAATAACTACAGGCCGGGATGAATAGGGTAGTCTTAGAATATTAGGTCTTGTTCATATACTTACATCTAAGAAAAGTCTTTAAATAGTAAAAACTAGCATTATTAAAGAGTACCGTTTCTAAATGAAAGCATAGAGAGAACACTTAGTACAGCTGCCTGTAAGTGGAAGCGTTACTGGCAACGAGAGAGATGGATACCCGATGGTTCCCTCTGTCTCTGTTTAGATAAGCTGCGATTGGCTAAGTAGTTGTTAATAAGTATTAACATCTCATATTCTCCAGCCAATCACAGAGCTCGACTAGAAAGAGATATAGGGGACTATCTATTATCCCTCTTTCGTTGCCCATATTGCAAGATTGGGGCGCTTGTTCTCTCTAGGTTATATCTCTATGGATGAAACCCTGTTCGTCCAAGCATATAACAATCTCGATAATCTGTTTACTAAAATATGGTTTCGATGTTGAATTAATGTCCTTATCGATTTTAATGTCGAATGTTTACCGATATTGGTTTGATATAAATATCGACATCTATTCGATGTGAAATGGTTGTCGATAACGCGTCAATGTCACATGATTATCGATTCTCGTTGAATGAATTTCGAATCGATGTCGAATGAATATCGATAACGGATCAATGTCGAATGGAAATTAATATTTGTTCTATTTTGTAAGAATTTAAATATCGGAAGTCAAGTGTGTTTTGAACTTTACTAATGTAAAGTGGAGTTCTTTTTTATTTTAACGATTACAATCACTTCGAATATTTTTTATAAGTTTTACTAGTACTGAAGTTCATCAAATTTGATTTGCTTATCTTAATGCTGTCTTTCTCTGTGATAGACTTTATATCTTTCTGTTAGAAGCATTGCTTCGATTAGAATAAAATGTGAGACAATTTAAATTATATCTAAAAAATACATCCTAATCTGTAAATGCAGTAGAATAAAAATTATAAGTGAGCGGTATTCATATCATTCTGTGCTTCGGGGGTGTCTGACTCCGATGATGATTAATGTATAATCTATGATGATGCCGCGACCCCTTGAAGCCCTTTCTTAGAGAGTATGGTCCTAAAGAAGGCCAAAATCGGGTTTACGAGCATTAGAGCATACCCGGAATATACAAGCAAGGAAAATTTTATCAATAAATATTTTTCATGCAGTAATCATGTAAAAATTAATATCTAAATAAAGCAATCTAATCCGATCATAGTACAAATCATTATCTGTAAGTTCGATATACACTTTGCTTGAATATAAACAAAATAATGTAATTATATTAGTATTGTGAGCCGCATTAGTTGTAAAAGACAAGTATGTGTTACACTAATTAATTTGTACATAAAATTGTAGTGTGTCCATTTCAAACTGAATGATTTTAACTTTTTTATATATTGACCTTTTTGTATTTGACGTGTTGGGGACTAGAAATTGGATTACTTAAGATTAAACCGGAATTACCAAATTGAAGACCGGTGTTAAGCAATTCTTTCGTTGTCTTTCACTGAGTTAGTTAACGCGAGCGGGAGAGACTCCAAGGGCAGCAATGCAAGTGGGAATTTTGAGTTGCAGGTGTCCATGGGCGGCGGTAGTTGCTTACCATCAGGTGACCCGTCAGGGCCTCAATTCTGCTATTTTATGTTCACGCCAAGCCACTATCATACCACTGACACGCTATTGAGATGCCATCGAGTGGCCATTGGCATCGGTATAAATATCGGTAGTCTACACTAACTCTGTGTCTTTACAGTGGCGATGGAATGGCAGTGGCTCATCAGTGGTGATATCATAAAGATTGCCATATTTGGAAAAATAAATAAAAATCATTTCCTCAAAAAAACGTAATATATTTTCAGATTATAAGAAAATGATTTATATTATACCGATGCCAATGGCCACTCGATGGCATCTCAATAGCGTGGTCAGTGGTATGACAGTGGCTTGGCGTGAACATAAAATAGCAGAATTGAGCCCCAGTAGTGAGCCGAGACGTAATAGACACCCCTTTTTACTTAAAGTTCCACGTGGCAAAACAGCTTGTATTTAAAAGTTAAAGTTTATTGCAAAATCCAAGGTAGATTGTGCAAATAAAGCATTTTCTTTACGAAGGTGTATTTTTTACACCTTTTTAAAGAAGATACAGAATAGGATTTATTTAACTAATGACTAATTTCTACCCCCCAACGTGTCCCAATCGTCTGATTTTATCTTATAACATTAATTACTCCCTAAGTTTACTCCCAAAGAGAACTCGACAGTTCCCTAAACATTATAATGTGCATTTTTTTTTTTGAAAAATAAACTAGGATCAACAAAATTGGAGGATTTTTTTATTTTAAAATTGTTAAAAATTACTAACAAGTGAATATTTATGTATTTTGAAACTGCCATTGGGAATATTGTATTTTTTATTTAGATCTATATTTAAAGAAAAGACAATATTTAATCCTTACAACTTCGATCCGTCTTGTATAGCCAATAAACTTTGTTTTTTATGAATACCACATAATCAAAATAAGATTTCAAAATATCACGAGGGCAATAAAATAATATTCAAATATAATAATTATTGCCTATGGGAAAATAAATAGTTTAACTCCATAAAGTGGAGAAAAGATTCCTTACACCATATGTAGGGAATCTTTTTAACATTATAAGGCCTTAACAGTCTTTATGAAATTTTAAGTTTGATTGTAAAACAAACTTTAGAATCAAATGTTTTGATGATACTAAAATATGACGTCATCATTTGGTATTTCAAACACAGTTATTTTTAACCGTTAAATTGTGCTGTCTAATAATGAGAAAATCATTGAGACCACACTGATGGAAGACAGATAGCATGAAAGGAACTTTACGACCTTTTAGAATATAAAAAGAAGAAATTTGTCATTTTTTTAAATGATCTATTTTTTTGTATACTTTATTGTTAACGGATCTTCACGTTGTAAGGATTCAACAACTCATGACAATAGACATTGAACCACCGACTGATTGTCATAAAATACAATTTAATTTAGTAACAAATAACACACAACTTTGTATTGTTTATTCATTAAATTAATCTCTACAAGATATATTATCTGTGGAGAGATTAAAAGTGCACGTGTTCAGTGGTATAACGTGTCATTTAGTGGAAAGATGTAATCATTTTAGGTGTGTACAATCTCAACTCGCGTTTTACTGCAATCATGGGGGTTAGTGTGAATTTATTTCGACTAGATCTCGAAGGCGAGCGTTTTCGGTGTTGCGATTGGTCTGTTGAGTTGATGTAAAATAAACTCACACTAAGCTCTGTACGAGTGATTTCGTGAATAGGGACGAAAGGGTGTAACAGGAAAGGGGGAAAGTGCGCGTGGCGATAGGATTGTCCGTCAGAAGATAGCTGAGATGTCTATATGTTACACATATGTGCCTATCGTAAGACTTTTTTTTATTTTACCGAAGATCGACTCAATTGTAATCAAGTCTTTTGTAATCAATTTGAATTAATAGTAATTCGATTAAGAATTACACCAAACAGGAGCCAATCCACACATCAAATCATAATGTAGTGAGCATACAGAAAGCTTTAAATAAAATACAAATTGTATCAACCCTGTAAATACGAGTATAAAAAATCTGTTAATTTTGACTGAACCTTTTCATGACAAGTTAAAACTCAATA